GAAGGATCATGAATTTGCCCGCCAGCTCGAGTGTGATCTAGATGCCCTCTTTTTTAGTATATATTAAGCCTGGCAAAGAAAGCCAGCGTCAAAGAGATAATTGAGTCAAGTGAACAGTAGGCACCGTAAGTAAAGTGAAATCACTGTGAGTTATAGCGTGTATTATAAATGTAGTTAAGTTTAGAAACGTCCTGACTGAAAATTCTGTGTACTGCAAAGAATAAACTAATTCTAATCAAGAAGGGAGTTGTATCGCTGAAGTTCCTCAGAAAGAATTTATACTGGAAATTAACAAACAAGTAGATACGTAACAATATAGTGTGAAACGAGTCCCAAACAGTGATAAAGACAGTTTTCGATTCTTCTGTGTTTTTCGTGATTCTTCTGGTGTCAAAATTGGTCATGATAGGATTGCATTCGCCTGCAAATGTTGGCCTCTTTAATTAAGATTCTATTCTATTAGTAATTATGATAAATGTATCTATAATTTCATCTGAATCCTACATTGTTGTTACTAGAAATAGATGTGGAAAATAAAAAGCCAAAATTTAATGTTGTCAACACTGCAGATTTATTGCGTAATGTGTACTAGATGACGTCATTACCACTAACATCAGCACCGGTGATATAAGATTAAACTTAAGATTGTATAACAGAGAACTAAAGGAGAAGATCTCAGTTATTACAGCTAGTTGTGAAGTTTTTGTTATTTTTATATTTATTTTTTAAATAATATGCCATTAAGTTAAGCTAAGATAGACACTAACTGAATAAGTTAAAGAAAGCTAACTTTGTTAGAATTACATATTCGGTAATAAGAAATTAAGATTAAGACCAGTGGTAGTCTTGCATCGTACTGAGTGATTCGTTGACTTCTTTTTGATTAATTGTAAGTTTTTATTTTCCCCATTAAAATATGTAATTTTAATGAAGAAAAGATTAGTAATAAGTAAAATATTTTATATCAAGCCCTGCAAATTGTTCATAGTTATTATTACAATACAATACAATTTACAAGTAACTTCTGACTTTGAAGGAATCTGCAAGTGCTAACTGCTAATGAATTGTGTAACTGTAAGAAATTCAATTTCCATGAAATTTATTGTAGGAAGATTATCGCTCACAGAAATATATTACCGTATTACATATAGATATACAGGCTTCCAAAGAAACTACAGATGGGGCATTCTTCTTATCTTTATCAAGTTTGTCAGATTTCACTTATTAATTTTGTATTATTATCAATTATTATCTATAAAATGAATTCTAGTATTACTTGAATCAGTGTAGTATATCGACATTTTATTCGGATATATTAACACATGATTAACCACCTTTTGTGCATGGGTGGAGGTCAAAATGCAAATTTTATGACCTTTTACAGAGTGCCATTCAACATGGTATTATGTATTTGATATCAGAGTTATGAACTATTAATTTTACCCTTCATTGCTGATTTAGTATTAGTTTGTGGTAGCGGACATATTGGATGCAATATATAAGGATACTGAAAAAAGCTGTGGATATGCATTTTGGTGGTTCTAAAGGTTATGCAAGTACAATACACAAACTGTACAATGGACAAAAATATTTTTATTTATATGAACATTACCTTGCACTCTAACTTGTGAGAGTCTGAATCAGAATGGCATTGTCAACTTATATTGTTTTGAGTAGAAATACTTTTCTAACACATTTACTTTTTTGTGTACAACAGACTTGAACGTTTTACTAAAAGCTTGCCACCTTTAATGTAGGTACACTTAGTAAATTCAGAATTATAGTCAACTTTTCTTCTCCAGTATATGAGGTTGGTCCAGTGGACTGAGTGTGTGCACATTTGGTTATCTTTTATAATCAAGTATAATACATCTATTTATCATGCTTGCTGTATTCATGAGAAAAATTAAAATATTACACCTTTGTTATTGGAATATGGAAAATATTTGTACACAATGTTGTAGCTGTTAGAATAGTGGAATCTATTTATATGTGTGTTTGGTTTAAAATATGTAAGTTTGAATAATATAAGACTTATTAATTAGTAATTAAGAATGTTATGTTCATTTTTAGCCTCACCACAAGAAAGATAAACAATACCACATTGACTGATTGAGTGCAGAGAAGGGTTACCAGATTGCAGAATTGAGGAAAAACAACACAATTGTATGTTTCACAAGTACATCATTTATTCACAACCATGGTTTTGCAAGTAAAGGCATCGTCAGGTACTGACGAAACCATGTTCATGAATAAATGATGTATTTGTGAATCTTACAGTTGTGTTGTTTTTCCTCAATTCTGTAATTATGGAGTGTCACCAACTATCAAAGGTTTCAAGTATAAGTTAGATTGATTGAAGATTTGGAAATTTTAAACTATGAATCATGATTAGAAATTTAAGCTTATTTATAATTCCAGAAAAAACAAAAACTAGAGATAATGATTTAAGAATTCAAAAATAATAATTTTATAGGATTAATAAGGCTAGAATTGAAGGCATGAACACTGAAAGTAATTATGTCACATCTGAACATGTCGGTGAAGTGCATTAATCTTTTTTGTCAGATGCTGTATGAAATGATCTTTATAAAAGGTTAACTAGAAATTACCTGTTAATCCATAATGCTGATTTACATTATAGCGGCATCTTCAGTATGTGTCACTTATATGTAATGTATAGAAAGATGTTTTAGTAAAATATGCCTAAAGGAGAATTCATTGGGCAGTCTTTACAGATTTTAGCTTTACTGAGAATGTGCTTTATACAGCATAAAGGCTAGTGGCAGAAAAATGAAAGTTTATCTTTTATAGGTCACTTACTCAAATCTGAGGAAAAATTGAAATATAACATTATCAACACAAAAGTTGGTCATTGTTTTTAGCTAACCTCTATCTCAGTTATTTAACCAATGCTTAGCAGAAAGACATGTAACAACACTGGATGATAATTGAGCTACTAAAGTATTATGCATAGAACTACCATTAAATGCCCATATCCAGAATATAGATCTTAATGATCATATAAAAACTGTAATAAATAAATATAATAACTATACAACCTAATAAATACAATACAACCTAATTTTTATCATACAGAGCTGCCTCTTTGGTGTATTAATATTATATTTAAATATTTTTATTGTTTTAGTATTGGAGCATGGTCTTATGCAATTCTTACAGTTCATGTTTCATTTGTTTGTTTACTGTATTTATTTCAAGGGAATGGAAGAAAATAAAGATCTGAAAGATGATGAGAAGGTTGTGGCAAAAGTAAACCCAACTATAACAGAAGGAAGTCAATGTAACTGTGTGGAAGTTAATCTGGATAGTGAAGAAAAGGAATGCAAAGACTGTATTCAAATTGATCCATTTTATGCACCTAAAGTTTTGAGAAAAAATTGTTCTGTAGGAAATCTTAATTTGGAAGGAAACAATGAAGCTAGGGTGCTGGTTCTTTATACTGGTGGGACAATTGGAATGGTACGATCTGAAAAAGGAGGTAATATTATTGTATACTGTCTGGATAAAAAGTATAATTGCTATGAGAATTTTCCAACAGATATCAAATATGTTTGGTGAGATTTTGAATTTTTTTGTGTTAACTGGCTTAATTATTAGAATATAACTAAAACTTTTGAATATTGTATGAAAGTCTAATGTTGTAAAATTTACTTATTGAAACTTAGTACTTTAGTAATTCCATTGACTAATAGTTATGTACTTCACATAGTTATAAATGTGTGAATGATTTCTTGACACTGTTGTACTTCAGCCTAAGGTTTTCAGTAAACAATTGTTTTAGCTACTTTCTTTTTTATATGGTTATAGTTTTCTAAGAATAATAAAGAAGGTTGTAAATTTATGAATAAAACCTGATTTACCATCTTCCCATTCCAAAAGCTTCATAAATATTGTTGTAGCTTATGAACAAAGGAAGTTTGACATAATGTGATAGGTAGGGCCGTAATGTCTAGAACTTTATATGAAGTGCATTAAGCTAGAGTGTTAGCAAGTTTGTCAGTCAGTTGATGAGTAATCATTGTATTAGATAGTCCATTTATATGCTACTGTCAGCCAGTTAATTAGTTAATGCCATGAATATTAGGTTAATGTTTTAAGACTTGATAATGAATCCATTTTCTAGAAAATAAACATTTTGAGATGGCTTGACATTTGTAATGAAAACTTTGTTATGAATGTATGACGTATTGACAAGATTTTGTCATCTCAAAACTTTTAGATTAATGTTTTGATGAAAATAGCAACTAAGTGAAATTTCTGTGAGATTGTGTCTAATTGTGAAGTTAAGCCTGTTGGTAAAAGTTGGTTATGCTAATCATAGCATATGAAGAATTCAAACATCTTAGTTATTGTGAAGTGGACTGGATTTTCCATTTTTCTTTTTCTCAAATAATCCAGCTATAAATAGAAAACATTACAACAACATTTTTTATTAGGACTTGTAACTCTTTTATAATATTTATATAGTAATTTCATGTAAAGTTTCATGAGTGAGGAAGTTTTTTTTTTTTTAACATTTTGTGGTGTTCTTTGCAGTGTATGTTCCTCAGTCCAATATTTTAGAATCCAATCTTAAGAAGTTTCCCCAGCTTCATGATGATTCATATGCACGAGAAAGTTTCCCTGCCAATAGCAGAAAGGTCCCACTAGTTCTCCCGTAAGTTTTCTTTTCAAGTTCATGAGGGTGCATGTTATATACAATTAAATTACATTAAAAATATTTCTAATACTTTAACTGTCCTTATCATATTTTCTTGTATTCATATTTTCTTCTACAGTTTGGTATTTTTTGTTTATATAATCCTAGTCATTGTGTGCAAGTACACTACTTATTGTAAATCTGTTAAGTCTGTGTTAATTTGCATTCTTTCTTCTCACAACATAATCAGAATGTTTTTAGACAAGACTGTTCACTACACAAGTGTAATGCTGTTAACATTTTTCAATGCAGTAAACAGTTTATTGACTTCAAATTTTTAAACTGACAGTATGTTTTCTGAGTATGTATGTTTGCCTTTTGCATTATGTGCAAACTAACTTAATCTACAGTTAATTTGGTGCTAAGTTTCTCTCTCTTTCTTTTTTTAGATGTTAACTTTAGATGAAAGGTTAATAGTGATATATATATATATATAGTTCAAATGAGTTGAGAATGTCTTGAAATGTTAAAAATAATTGCTCATATTGAACAAAAAAATTGCATAGAATGTTCAGTTGGCTAGTGTAGTTTTAAGCTATTTCAACCCTCAGATGAACTAGGTTTCTGCTTCAACTATATTTTCCAGTATCAGAAATTCTACAACTTTGGTGGCCTTACTCATGCGTGTCTGAATTGTTAGGCCTTATTGATCAACATATTTAGGTTATTTTTTATTTGTCAGCTGGTGACCCTGGTAGGTTTCATGTTACAGAAAAACCATGCATTATTCCTGATGGCTATCTTTTATGCCACCAGCTGTGACCACATCTGAGAATGTACATATCTCCACAGATAGATATTTACTGCCCCAACCTCCATTTTATATATATTATTTTAGTTCTATCAGGAGTGATGAGCTACTCTGCTGAGAAGAATGCTTCTTTTGGAATGGCCTCAAGTCTGTTATGAGGTTGGTCTGCTACACTCAGATTTATAATTATTACTTTATAAATGTAAAATAGTTTGTCTCATAAAGATGACAGAGAAAACTTTTATAATGCAGAATATGTATAAAATGGAAATGAATTTTTAAGTATTATTTGTTAATTTTCAGGGAAACTGGTGATCCAAAACGTGTTGTGTACACCATCTTTGAATATGATCCTTTGCTAGACTCGTCTAACATGACTATGGATGATTGGATACATATTGCCTTAGATATCAAGGTATGTGTTGTGTGTACAATGTAATAACAAAGTTCTTTGTTATAATCTTTTACAGAGGATAAGGTAGTAGTTTTACTTAGGAAACTTGTTGAACACACCTAGATATTTTTAATTATTTTAAAATATATACTTGTATACTTTAAGCTGATTATTGTAACATACTTGGAAGACATCCATGCATTAGTAACCCTTAGTGAAGGAACTTGGGTTCATGGGAATAAATACAGGGTGTCCACAAAGTCCTGTTCTGGTTTTAAAAGTTTATTTTTATTACAACAAAACCAAAAGAACTAGAATTATCTGGTTTGCAGTCGTGATCAGTGACAACTGTTCAGTAGAATTACCACTGCTAATTTGGCAAGGATCCTCCCTCCAAACCCAGCATTAGGAGGTGGTTTCACAAGTTTTGGACAACAGGAAGTGTAATTGACCTGCCTCAAAGTGGGCATCCACTGAAGAAACTGTTGCTGTGTCCAGGAGATGTTCCAACGCAGCCCTAGAAAGTCTATTTGTTGTGCTTCAAGTGAACTCCAGCTACCAAAATCAATGGTGCACAAAGTCCTACACAAGAGATTGCATCCTTATGTGTTTAAAGTGCACACATTGAGCTTTCTCCTGTGTAGTTGCCATCTTCATTCAAAGTTCAATCATTAGCAACTGGACATCCTGATTACAATCTGTAAATCAAAAGCAAAACTTCATTAGTTAAGCAACAAGGTGCTAAAAACTGCATAATTCTAGCTCTTTTGGTTTAGTTCTATAAAACTGGAACAGGACCTTTGTGGACACCTTGTATTTATGATATGAATTAATCATATTATTTACATTAATCCATGATTTCGTCACTTCGCAAAAGTCATCTATAAATGAGTCTTTTTAACATGAGATTGAAGAGCATTACTAATTTTCAAAAGCTGGTTTCATTAACAGATGTCATTGTGAGTGTGATTAGAAAGTTTTTGATGGGATGTTGTTAGTGACAGATATGTGTTACACAACTATGAAACCCCACTTACAGACAATCTAACACAAAAGGATCTGAATAGGATTTTTCTTGTGATAGCTATAATCCAAACCTCAAGAGCCTTTGTTATACACACATACACACACACACACACAAATTTGCTTCAGCTTAATGACCATTTATTGAAAGCTTTCATAAAGTTTGTGTTGTTTCTTTCTTGGAAGGGCATGGGGTCAAATGATAATTTGGACCATTAAACATAATGGAAATTACAAACTAGATAGCTTTCACAGACTCATCTCATACATCGAACATTTTAACCTTCAAGCCTTCTCTTACTGAACCCCCCCTCCCCCCAAAAAAAAGTTACCTGTTGCTCATCACTCTGTCCAGCTGCATCATTCCATCAATAATATGGCTCTATTAGCTATTAAAATTGGATTGCAGTTGGAAATAGACAAAGAAATGAGAGAGCTTACTAGAGTTCTCTTTTTGAATGCTGCCATGTTTTGAATATTAACCATAATCCTTGCATCAGTACTTTTTAACTTTTAATATATTTTGTCAGTAATTAGTTGTTTCTTCCTTACAATAACCACTAGCTTATTCTATCCAATTTCTGTACCAGCTTTCTTAGTTTGAAACTACTTGTTAAAATTTGTATAACTATGCATATGTTTTTTATTTGTAATACTTGTTTATGTATTTTACTGTGATTTTACATGCTGTGCTATAGTTCATTTAACCCTTTGTTTTTTCTTTAATGTTTCTTTTATTCTTAATCATTTGTTTAGTCTCATCCCTATTCTTCCTACATCAGAAACTAGTGTTGTTTGTGCCTTGCTGTATGCCACACTCCACTGAAATAGGTCTTGCACAGTTTTGGGTTATCAGATCAGCCATCATAGTAACACCTTATGATAACAGAGATCTCAGCTGTATCTTTTTTTACATCTTCATTTCACCCTTGATAAAGGAAATCAATTTTTCTGAATGTGTTTGAGGTTTTGTCAGGTTTTGTTAGTTTTATTTAACTACTTAATGATTTTGCATCATTTTCAAGTATATTGTATGACTTGACAAACATGAGCATGAGTGTGTACAGTGTTGGTGCATTGCTCCAGACATTTTTTCTGTGAAGCTATATATAGCAGTGTTTACTAATAGGAGTCTGAATTTATTATGTGTATCTTCACAAAACATAGTAAACCTTTAGTAAACATTATAAGCATGTTGCACACAAAAAGACAATTTTTTTAATAAATATTTTTTATTTTTAAAGATTTGTCTACGAATTTATGATTCTTTTATTGAGTCTTTGAGTGGAAGGTGATTTTCATCTTAAGAATAAAAAAAACTTCTTTTCATATAACAGTTTGGATATTTCACTTGTTAATGGAGGAGCCTGATTTGCAGGCTGGACAAGTTTATTTATATCTCAGCAAATCTGGCCTGTCAATATCTATAGTATTTTTAATTGATTGGACAGTTTGAAAGGCTTTAAAAGGATGAAAAAAATGTAAAAAGGAGAAATAAGGAAGCTAGATATGTCATGTGACACAGAGTAGTGAAGAATTAAAATGTATTTAAACACTTCTTTTTTAAAATTAAGAAATTAAAACTTGGATAATATACAAATTTGAATTATAAACTGTGTTTGATTTCAAGTTTATTGACATATATTGATAATAAAATAGGTCTGTTAGATTTTTATGCAACAATAAAAAGATCATAATGTGCAATTTGACTCATCTGTGTGCATAGAGTTAATGTGTCAGTGTACATATGTTTAGGTATGGTGCAAATGTAGTTTTCAACTTCACGTGATTTCTCAGCTACTGGTTTGGATTGTCACTCTTATTCATAAGTAAAACATAAATTTATTTTATATGTTGTAATTACACATCTATGACACTCTGTATTGTACCAGAAATACCACTTTATAAATATGCATTAACTTTAAAAAAAATGCCATAATCTGAATAAGACAAGTTATGGCTTTGCTTTAACTTCAGTGTTCTAAATTTTATTTGAAAAAAAAAATTAAATTATCTCTACTTTATGATTTCATGAAAACTTGCATGTAGTTAAATTGGTGAAACTATAGTAACTGAGCTGATAAGTTTGTTGTAGGGCTGGAAGAAAATGTATCTATGTAAATGTTAGTAATTATTTGAAATTTTAATCTTGGACCTTTTACAAATTCAAATAAAGATACTTTCAGAGCATGCTTAATAAAGTAGAAAAAGAATATGTCCATATTTTTTTTTGAATTATGTTATTCATCATTATGAAAATATAAATATCTTCATTGTTTTTTATTTTGTATGTCAAAGATCTGTATATTGTCTACAAATAAAATATAAGTTTTACAAATTCTGGTCTTATATTTGAGGTATACTGAGTAATTTTTAGTTCCTTGTTTTGTATTTTTCCTAGCAAGCATATGAAGAGTTTGATGGCTTTGTTATACTTCATGGTACAGATACATTGGCTTATACAGCATCTGCTCTTTCTTTTATGTTGGAGAACCTTGGAAAGACGGTCATTCTTACAGGTTCCCAGGTCTGTTCAAACTTGAAGCATATTTCAGTCTATTTAAATTTCACTAGAAGTATTTGAAATGATACTGTAATTTCTAAGAAGTTTTTTAGTTTTTAATATTTTTTATAGATATATTTGTTATGTTTTTAAGATTTATGAGAAGAATGGTTTCATTGCAGTTTTTCAGTTCTCTAAAAATAAAAGCTACACCTGATAGTGTAAATTTTTAGCCTTTCAGAAAATAAAAAAATATATTTGAGCTTCACGTATTTTGTAGTCACATAAATTACTAATAGATTATTTGGTGATCAATGTATTATATACAGATTCCTTTATTTGAACCACGGAGTGATGGGAGAGAGAATTTTCTCAGCTCACTTATAATTGCTGGAAATTATACTATTCCAGAGGTAAGATCTTTATTTTAAACTGATTGGCTAATTTTTTGTGGGTCATTTTCATTCATTGTAGAAAACAATTTATTGTCTTGAAATAGAAAATAATAATGTGCTGGATTTAACATATGAGTAGATTTAAAATACTTTTGTGTGGTTACTTCAAATATTTTTGATAAACTTTGATATGTTGTTATACTAAGCTTTACATGCTTTTTCCTTAACATTGTCTTATAATAATAGGTAGGCGAAGAACAATTTATAAACACAAGGAAAAGTTTTATTGATGGTAGAACATACTACATGTTTCAACAGAACATTGGCTTGTCTTCTTCAGGTATGATCAGTATAAATTGTTGTTTGCCCACCTGTTATTATATTAGCATAATATGCTTCCTTACTCAAGTGTTGTATTGTAATATTATGATACCCTTATTGTTGAATAAACCTAGTTCATGAGATGATCCATAGATAATGACCAGGGTTTGCAGTCGGTACCAGCGTTACTTGGCATCCAATATTGGTACTGGTTTATCATATATTGAGAATAATATCTGTTATCACATGTCCCATCTTTGGAGTTCTGACTGAATGCCTCCTCTGATATTTCAGCTTCGCTTTTCACAGAATTATAAATGTTTGATGTGGTAGTTTTGAGTTCATACTTCAGTTGATAAGTGAATCTCAGCATGAAAATTGGCAATAGCATGAAATATAGGAAACTGGTGACTTTCGCACTCTGGAAGAGAACGTGAATGTGCCTACGTGACTGATTGCACGTTAGGTAGGTGCATGCATGATTAACCCTTAGTATGCAGGCAGGTCAAACTGCATATGCCACAATGTTTTAGTGAGTCACATTCAAAATTTAATTAAACTACCTAATTATCATGGTATACGAACAAACTTGATATCAAACCATAGATAATAAATCAAATTTTAATATTATATAAGTTTTAAGTTTTTAATTGTGTAAAGAAATTGTTAAAACAACCTCAAGTTTCCCTAGTGTGAGAATTTGGATATTTGTTGTTGAGCTATCTCCTCTTCTTGATTTTTTTGTCCACCCCCTAGAAAATTACTAAATTGAATATAAAATATTCTCTATAATTTCATCATCAATATTCTGAAGCTATATTTTTATATTCTTCAATCTTATGGGGCTAAAGAGCAATCAATGAAAATTCAGAAATCACTTTCCATGCCTACCTCTGACAACATGTTCTAATTTACAGTTTGCCAATTGATTTTTCTGAGGCCAACTCCCATTAAATTTATAACAATAGAAAGCCTAGATTTCAACTGATCCATTGCCATAGTCATCATACTACATGGGCTTACAGATAATTGACAGTTTGGTTTGATGTGAAAAAACATTTTCCCACAAGAACACACTGGGAAGAATAGTTGAATTTCTAACTGCTCGAGTCACATGATTAGAGATGATCAAGTACTGGTAGTACCTGCAGTACTATTGCAAACCCTGATAAGGACTCTCATCATGTAATGACAACAAGTTATATACTATACTACACAATCCTTCCAGTTCTTATTTTGCTCTGCTGTATTGTTGGTCTGTGAGATTTGGATATTTTGCTTAATGTGAATGGTACTCCTGTGTTTACTATAAGTCTGTTTTTTGTACATAACTGCAAAACTTATACTATTATCGCAAATGAGGAACAGCATGGACCAGTGGATCTGCAGGTCGATTGTTTGCATCTTGTCACTGAAAAAAAAAATCATCTGCACCTTGGATCTGTTGATGCATTATAAGGGTGATAGTTTCAGTCAGATGAGTAGCTGAAGAGTTGGAGATGAATGCTGTTGATTAGCTGCCTTCTTTCTACTCTGTTAGTTAAAAATTAGAGATAGCTAGAACAGATAGCACTTGAGTAACTTTGCACAAATATCTGAAAACAAACAAAAAGATTAACACAGTGATATGTCACAGCCATATTCACATTTATAGGATCTAACTAGTAATTGAGATTGAAGACTACTTATCGATGTGAATAAAACCCATGCTAATCAACTCGTCTTTGTATGTGTTAAAGCTTTTATTTCTTCCAATCCTATACTTCTTACATCAATTGTAAACCTGCTGTTTTGGTTATGTTATTGAATTGGGTTGATGTAGTTTGCTTCTTATTTTTCCATCATGGATTCTGGTAAGTCTGACATATGAAGACTGGGTGTGAGCTTATCTAGACTGCTGAGTGTTAGTTCCATATTTCTACTTATCTGACTGGATGTTACAGCCAAAGAAGTTGTGACTACCTTCTTCATCTTCTTTTGGCTGGATGGTGGACCATCCTTACATATCTTGTAGTTTTGTTGTATTTTTCCTTAGATTATACAACTTCGTTAAGATTAAGTGACCCATAACATATCTTCATTTTTCTAGAGAATAGGGGCAGGGCTGCCACTGAAAACTGACTTAGAAATGGTGTGCCTTATTTGGGCAGCTCCCTTATTGTCTGGCTCATTTCTCCTTCTTCATGTTCACTGTGGAAATTTGATCATGATATGATACAAATGATAATACTGTTTGAATCACTTTTTTTTAAAGTGTGTTTTAAATAAATATTACATAAAAATTTATCTTTCTTTTCCTTTCCCTCCCGTCACTTCATGTTCAACACACTCTTGACAGAGTTCTTGTACTTGTTTTTATATCAAGTAAGCCAAAGAAAATATGGGTAGTTTATGTTGATTTGCTTGTAAGCAATGTAAAATCAGATATCATTTAGTGGATGTAGTACATATTTCTAACTTAATTATAAGCATTCAAAATTTGATCTTCTGATAAGATGGACTACAATGTGTGCATAATGCTAGTGCATATTTAAATTATTTTTCTACCAGAATGTTTTTTAACAGTTTATTTTAATTTTGAATATAATTTTCTATCATAAGGTGTTTACAGACTTATGCTTAACTTTCCAAAACGATTATTTCATAGGTTATTGCATGTTTCCTTCATAAGATAAACAGTGACTGGTATTTTAGTGTGTGCTAGTTAGGTTTTGCATTAGATACTTGATTGTGTAGATTTATTTTAGTTGTAGGTTCTTTTTCTTTTTTTTTACATTTTAATAAGATGCACTAATTTTTTTTTTCTAAAGGTTACTGTTCTTTTTAACAATCAACTTTTTCGAGGGAATCGAACAAGCAAAATTAGTACCAGCAGCTTGGATGCTTTTGGATCCCCAAATCTGGCTTCTCTTGCAACTGTTGGAATCAAAATACATAGTAAGAATAAAATGAATTTCAGGTATTCTATAAATGTAGTTTAGGTGGGTTGGGTTGGGAAGGAGGATAAATGTTTACATTTTAGCAGGTAATTATTTGAAAATAGAGAACTTCTTTAGAAGATTACTAACATGCAGTGTTCTAGCTGGTCGTGCTGCAAATTAATTTTTGGAAGCAGAAAATAAGTTTCTATAGATGGCTAAAAATTTCCAAATGAAAATTTGGCTCTGTTGTCATAGGCCAGACATGACCCAGTGGTTAGTGTGTTAGGCTATGGATGGGGCAAACCAATCTTCAAGATTTAATTCATGGAGCATGATCTTTATTTTCAGTTGTGGACGTGTTATAAAGGTGATATTTAAAGAGCTGGACAAAGCTCTAATGGCAACAGGTGCTGCTGTATTACTGCCATCCTTCTGGTCAGTAGTCCAACATTAGGAATAATTATCCCTGAAGTATAGGGGTATCCACTGATCTGGCAATTTACCCCTTATGCAAAATATGACATTCAAGTTGAAAATGTTTAAGTTAAAACTGTTTTCCTTTAATTCTTTCCTTGTAATTGAAGAACTACTCATGTTTAATTGCTCTTTAATCAAAAACCAGTTGAATAATTATTTAAAAAAGTCAGATGGAAAACAGTTTTTCAGGAGAAAATAATGTTTTAAATAATGTAATAAACTGTTAAAGGTCGATAAATAATAACTTTTAGATTTTTTTAGCTGCAGTACAGCAGCTCATAAAATGGCTCTTGAGTTTTATTTTTATTTTTTTCAAGTACAAACTTTTTGCTCAATGCTCCATCATTTGACTGATTTGAGATCTAATTACAGTTTTGGACTCAGGAGATCAAACCCTTTCAATTGATGAATTTGACCATACCCAAGGTCTCGTAGATTAATTTACTCTAATCCTACCTAAAAGAATTTCAATTTGAGGGTAGGCTGATTGAGATCCTGATGAGTAAAATTGAATCGGATATACGCATGCCCCAAGCTTGATATTGCTGGTGCACAAAAATATAGTTAATAAAAATGGATAAATGTTCTCATAGATTAATTTACTCTGATCCTGTCTAAAAGAATTTCAAGTGCTGTAGCTATTGAGGATTCCCTCTTATTTGAATAAGTAATTTACTTCTAACAACAATTAGCTGTTATATTTTATTGCATATATTACAAAAAATTAATAAATTTTGGGTACAACAAATGTATTTTGTTTTATGGTTCACAGGAGGATGTTTTTAAATCTACTGTGTACTTGTTTTCAGTTCAATAGCAAAATATCTTTAAATCTACTAAGTTCTTGTTTTGTGCTTCACTGGTAGAATGATTTTAAACCTGCCGTGTAATTGTCTTGCAGTTCAATGGCAGAATGTCTTTCAACCTACAACAATTGAAGAGTTTTGTGTTCATGACAAGCTAAATCGCCATGTTGGTCTGCTGCGTTTATTTCCTAGTATTACGGTTGAAGTGGTAAGATACTTTGATAGAGATATCTGAAAAGAAAAGCAATTCTTTAAAATGAGATTTTATAAAAACTATCATGATTTTAAAAATTATACATATAATTTTAAATTGAAAATGTTTTTCTTTTTAAGTATATTTGATACCAGTTGATTAGAAGGGTTATGTACAGCAGTTTTGTACACTAAAAAGAAATAAAACTCTGGATGATTTGAAAAATAATAACTGTCCAATATAATCTTTCATAATATAACTACATTTAACGTTTTTTACCTATTCTTTTTCAGTTACTTAGCTAGATATTAATATTTTTTAAGGACTATGCTAATATATATAATTACCATAAAACAGTCTTCAAGAACACTTAATAAATGTTGGAGGAGAACCCAATATTTAAACTTGCTTGTTTTAATTAAATAACTTTTTAAAAGATTTTATTTATTTTTTTATCTTATGCATGATGGGATAGAAACCCTTTCAGTCACAGGGGTGTTATAATGTGAAGTTCAATCTTAATACTCGTTAGTTAAAATAACAAGAAGTTCTTGTTATTGACTACTTCATTATAGTAATGTTTTGGATAAAATTCACCACATTAAAAAAGCCTTTTTAACACGTGTAAAAGTTCCAGTTGAAATAAAATTGAAACCACTGTCATATGTGTTTTTCAACAGAATTTATGTTGTTTTTATAAGTGAGAGAATAATTTCCTGAAATAATAGTCTTGAAAAATAGTAAAGGTATTAATCAGAATAGACTGGTAAAAAAAATAAAGTGAATATAGTCTCTTTCGTGATCAGTTTTGGATTTATTACTTTAAAACAAATCACAAAATGTAAATATTCTAACACAGGCATCCAAATATTTGTCACAACAGAAATAACATCAGTTGTATAGGTATAAGTAACAGCTAGAAGCCAGTATTCCTCATACTTTCATGAGATTGGTATTATATATATAAATTTGTCAATTTTTGTTGCTAATGGATGTTCAAAGAAGCTATCTCTTTCTTTGTAAAAGTACATTAACAGATCAATTAATATTTTATATCATAACCAATTGTTTTGACTAATAATTATAGAACCATTTTCATTAGATATTTCTACCATATATAAGCAACTGGGTATCCTCAGATTAATAATAATAATACATGTTTTTTTAGAAACAGTGAATTATATAGTTTAGCTTCAGTGTGTCAAAATGGTACTACAGCTACATATTTTGTTATTCTCATTTAAGGTGAGGGCTTTTCTGATGCCTCCCATACGAGGAGTTGTTCTTCAGACATATGGAGCAGGTAATGGCCCCACCCATAGACGTGATCTACTAGATGAACTGAAAAGGGCCTCTCAAAGGGGTGTTATAATTGTAAATTGTACTCAGTGCTGTAGTGGTAGAGTTGATCCATTTTATGAAACTGGAAATGTAAGTGTAAATAAATAACTTTAACTTAATAGTGTAAAAAACATAATATTTAACTAACAATGAATAAAACCTTTATGCGCAGCTCAGCCCAGTTGTACAAAGTACCAGAAACTCAAAGCTGTATGTACTAGAACTCTAAAATTATTAGGTGTATCTTCATGAAATCTGATAAGCATTTAATAAACATAAGTCTATTTTAACAAGTATCTATAATAAAGATTAGTTTGTGAATTTATAAAACCATTTCTGAGTCAGTCTGAGTGCAAGGTAATTTTTATATTAAGAATAAAGATACTTCTTTCTATCTTACAGTTTTCTTAGTTAATTTGTTTAACATCTGGAGCCTCCTAAATGAATATCATAATTCTTTATTTTTTTGGTAGAACTTTATCTGTTATTTTCTGTAACATAACACTGACTATAGCTAAATTATCAATGAGCATTGAAATTAAAAGTTTAAAATTATGAAATGAAATGAACAGTACATTTTTTTTTACTTCGAATGCATGATTTGTTGCAACATCTTCTGTTAATGAAATTCAAAATTTCAACTGTTAACCTTTTCCCATTTGTTTCCTTTTAATTTTATGGTTTTATTACCTGGCTTGTATCATGTAAGCAGTTTATTCATCTGTGAACACATTAGCAGATTCTCGTACACCGAAATACTGCATTATTTTAGATTTATTGTTAATATCTAATAAAGAAATGGTTGATAGGGTAGAGGTTGGGGAACATCTTGGTGCAAATGATCATTGCTCAATTAGATTAAGATATTTTGTTGCATATGTACTTAAGGAATAATGAGATATGGTTCAAAAAAGCAAATTTTGAAGAGATGAGATGTGCTGTGAATTGAGTAACTGAATTAGTTGGAGATACTAATCAAATGTGGAAAATTTTTCAAGTAAATTATTAAATATTCAAGATAGGCTTGTTCATTATAGACAAGAAATGGTAGCTGCAAGTAAGAGACCATGTTGGTTTATAAAGGCTATAAAAGATAAAATTAAAGAAAAGCATTATAAATATAAGTTTAAATTTGCTGCAATGATGGAAGATTTGGAGGACTATAGAAGACCAAGAGTTGGTCAAAGAGGAAATTAGGTGATCAAAAAACTATGAAAATAGATAGTAAGGATTTCTTGAAATGCATTAAGTGTAAGCAAAATGTTAGAATTATAGTAGGGCTTTTTAGGGATGATAATGAAAGGCTAATATCTGATGATTGTGGGATGGCTGGGCTATTAAATTCTACTTTTCTTCAGTTTTTACTAATGAAGATTCAAGCAATATTCCTCAACCTGAACAGTTAGTTGTTAGATGGAAACAAGGTTGAACAAACTGATCCCATTAATTGTGAGCTTATTAAAAACAAAGGGAAGTTCAAAGAGTAATAAAAAAACCTGGGTCAGATAACATTTACACAAGGGTTTTGTAATAGGTTAAGGATTAGATATGCGAGTCACTTGCTATTATTTTTTCCAAGTCCTTGAATTGTGGGCAGGTGTTAGAAGATTGGAAGTTGACTAATGTTACTCCTCTTTTTAAGGGAGGTGGTAGAAATTGTTCCAGCAATTAACCTATCAGTGGTGGGAAAAAGTTTTTGGAAATCTGATAACAGATGCTTTTGACAAGGTGTCACATAAAAGTCTCATTTAAAAAGTTATTTCTGTAGGTGTGGGAGATAGGTTGGTTCACTGGATACAAAACTGACTAGATGGAAAAAAGCAGAAGGTTGTTATAAATGGTGTTAAGTCAAACCGAGTGGAGTACCTTAGGGCTTAGTGTTAGGACCTTTGCTCTTTTTGATTTACATCAACATTAAAAATATGGTGGTGTTGGCTGTGAGGAGGATATTACTGTCTTACAAATGGAGTTGAATTATTTGGTGAGTTGGGGGAATAAATGCCAGATAGCTTTTTAGCATAATAAATGCAAGCTAATGCATGTGGTATATCACAATTTGAATAATGAGTATAACTTTGATGGAAATAATCTTAACAGTGTTATGTAAGAAAAAGATCTTGGTGTTCTGGTTGATCAGTCTCTTAAGCCATCCAAGCAATGTGCTGTTGCTAGTGGCAGGGTAGAGAGGGTTATAATGTTATTAGTTAGGCAACATTTAGAGTATTGTGTTCAGCTTGGGCTGCTTACCTCAGAAAGGACATTGAATTGTTGGAAGGGGTTCAGAGGAGAGCTACTTGGTAGGATTATACCTGCTATGGAAATGTTATATGAGGATAGCTTAAGATCTCTGAACCTGCTTTCTCTCGAAAAAAAGAAGTTAGAGGGAATCTGATTGAGGTGTTTAAGAATGTTAAGGATATTGATACTATTGATGCATCATCTTTTGTCATATTTAATAGTGAGAATGTTAAGACTAGGGAACACAAATATAAACTGTAGCAGGGAAGAAGTCATCTTCAGTGAAGACAGTTTTATTTTTCTACCTTGGTGGTTAGCCCCTGGAGCAGGTTGACTTTGGATGTTGTGGGTGCAGTTAATTTAGGGGAAAACTTGATAAATATTTGATTGATAAGGGCTGGCTTTGAGTTGTAGGAAGAGGCCTAGTTTTTCTCTTAAGTTTGTTGACCAAATAATAATTATTATACCTTTCAAATATTCATTTTAGAGCACTAAACTATATCAGTCACTATAATAAGTATTACAATACTACAATCATTTAACTGGTTCCTAACTGAGGTATAAATATGGTAAAATATTCTGTTATTTCTATGAGCAATGACTTTGCTTACACATGCATCAGACTCCTTCTCTAGGCTAATGTCTATTTCTGCCATATTCAAAGGGATGGTTCTGATCTTGAAAGAGAGGAAAAAGCTTTTTCTGTTGTTTATCTACCTGTATCTCAAATAGGAATGCATGGTTTTGAAAAAAGTTATGGATAGTTGGGCACGGCTTCTTTTGTGGGTTTGAGAAATATATTGATCTCAGCAAATGGAGGAAGTTAGAATGTTGATCAAATTTAAACTGGAATATTTCTTATTTTTTCACTATATGAATATTGTATTTAATTTGTAAAATTAAATGGATACCATTTAACAAATTTATCAATACATAAAATGGCTAAAGGGGATAAAATTATACATTTTATCTCTTAATTACCATTTTGGAATTAAGAAAACTTAGTATTAGCTGTATGAATGATACTTTATATAAAAGATGATTGAATGTGGTGATTTATTGTTATAATTATCAGGTAATAATAAAAAGAGATAGTTACATTAGTTTGTTGTAGCAGTCTGATATCAATACTTAATATTGATTTTTTCATTGTACAAACTGCAGCTTTATTGTTTGTATCTATATTTTATTCTGTGATTAACTAAATTAGTAGTATGCCATAATTATGTAAAGTAATTTGATTTTAAATAATTCAAATTTCCCTTGTCCACTTGAATCTTACATGATATAATGTTTCAGCTTGCCTACACTTTTTTCTTCATTAGGCGACTATTACAAATATAGCAGTAAGGTTAAGCACTCTGCAGAGCTTTAAAATGGGATAATATTGCTAAACTGTTTTTAAGCTTTGAACCTGTGTTAGACTATTGGTAGAGGGGATTTTAGAAAGGTTATCTATTGACTATTTCTGTTTAAATTATTGTTATATTGGCTAATGTAGGTCTTCTCAATGTTGAAAGTTTTCTTAATATTCTCATTAATCTGCATTGATGCTGCTATGGTTTATATTTTTGCAGATGAGTTATATTGGATATTAGTCAAGCAACATGTTTAGCAGTGTTTTTTAGGAGGTGGTAATATGTATTTTTGTTCCTCCTTAGTAAAGCTTCTAAATGTGTGTAAATTTCTTTTGGATTTTTATACTTCCAGTTACTTTGTATATCTGTTTATGTTACAGTTTTGTTTTTGTATGTTAGCATTCTTTCACATTTAAATTTTCAGTCTATGCATTTGATCTTTTTTTGCAAGCAAAATACATAAAATCAGAAAAAGAAATACTTGCTGGAAAACTTCCATTATACAATTCTTGTAAATTATACTGAATGTAATTAAAGCTGGGTAATTGGTGGAATTTGATAGTCAATTGATTATTCTCATATGAGACATGGATAGTTGGAATAATTGAAAATAGTAATACTGTGAAACACTAACTTTAATTAATTATTTTTGTGATATTAATATATTTCATTATAATTTTGATATATCAGCTATTTTACATAACATTATTGGTGTAATTAATTTTCAAAAGTAATTAAGTTAATCACCCAGATCAAAAAGTAATGCTGACAGATCCTTTAATAAGCCAATGAAACATTGCAACTTACCTGAATAAAAATATACTGTTATGCACTAATAGCAGTCTCTATTTATTATTCTGTGGATTGCTTAGAATTCATAAATCTAAAGTTTCAATATGTACCTTTTCCTCCCACCTCCTCCTCCTTGTGGTATGTCTAGAATTGGGCAGTAGTTCATTAACACAGAGTAAATTTGAACCAACATTGTAATAAAACTCTTTAGTAACCTTAAAAATTGATTCAGAACATTTTCTGGGTATGTGTGATAATGAAACCATCACTTTTCTTAACCATCTATATTTTCTTCAGGTTAAGCACTGACAACATAGTCTAGACTCACGATTTTCAACCTGTAGTCTGTGGATCCCTAGTGTCCCATGAACATTCTAAAGGGGATCCAGAACAGTAAAAATCGAGTTTTCATATTACAGTTTGAAACAAGAAAAGGGATACTGTGTTCAGTTAAATGAAAATAATGTTTTATTTGAAAATGTCAGTAACATACCTACTTATTTTTGTTAGTGTTACATTTGTTCACTTGATAAGCTTCTGCAAATAGACCTATATGAGTATGGGGAGCCATAAGATTGTTTGTTTCGTGAAGGGGGGATCCTTGAGGGAGAAAAGGTTGAGAACTACTGGTGTAGTCAACCAATCATGTACATTCTCAGGTATTCTAAATCCTATCATCACAAATATAAAATTATAAAGTGAGGTAAAAATAACCTTAGACCAGGTTCATGTTCTCCATCTCAGTTTGCAGAATTGACATCTGTTCCCACTGTTGTTGTTACATGATCCATTCAGTTACCCACTTCTGTCAAAGAAGAACTGATACAGCTGCTACAAAGAAGAGCCTAAGCCATCTGCAACACAGCTTCAATCTACACTTATTCATCCTCATGAGAAAGTACAAATGTCTTGTGGCTAGTAAGTGAAAACCATTAAAGAGCCAACCAGTTGTATAAAGCTTTCCTTGTCATAAATAGATACCTTGAACTCATCCATGAAAAATGTTTTCCACAAAATTACATTTTGACCTATAAAACCTTTAATATTTTTATATGTGACATTTCTACAGTAAAATTATTTTAGTGTAAAGCGTTATGGTCCTAGATTGAGGATCCTTTGTGTTTAGATTTGTTTCTTGTATATTTAACTCTCATCACTTAGCCACTGAACAAGAGACCTTACTGTTACAGATAAAATTATGCTGTTTTATTTTTATTATAATAACCTTACTAAGTTAGACGAAAACTATAAACACAGTAGGTTAAATAGAAAATCTTGTGTGATCAAATTTAATTGCTCTGTACTGTTCTTTAGATTTAATGGTGCCTAGTCTTATAGAAAAAATTATGCAACCTAATACAAGTTGCTCTCCAGACATGTTAGAAGTTGACTTAGAGATGTTTGTTTGTTACTGTAACATCAGAGTGTTGATGTATTTGAGGTTGATCTAGTATTGAGTTAATGTAAGTCAGAATTCTGTAGAGGTTAAAACTATTCTATTCTGTCTTTTGTTATTAATATTTCAGAGGAAGCATGTAGGAAATTTGTGTTTGATCTAAATATTGGAGTTATTTAAAGGCATTAAAACAGTTTTCTGACATCCTAGGCTTTGATGGACATTGGAGTTGTACCAGGCTCAGACATGACACCAGAAGCAGCCCTTACTAAGCTAGGATATGTACTTAGCAAGTCTGAATGGTCCCACCAGATGAAGAGAAAGGTGGGATAATTCTAAGTCATTATGAGTAGTTAAATTCTAAAATAGACCATGGTATTGAAGAATAGTAGAGCCACATTAATGATTGTAAACATCTTTAATGGATGTTTTGGAATTACATATATTCCATCTTTAGCAAGTCTGAAAATAATGAATTGAACACTCTTTAGTATAATTACTAATATAAAAATACAATGAATAGTATTAGGCTCACTGATATGCTTGTGGACTTGTAACAGTAAAAATAGTTTCAATACATGTGATGGGAATAGCACAGATAGTTCATTGTGTCGCTTTGTGCTTAATAAATAACAAACAAACAAACTTTAATCTCACTACACGATGCAAGATGGCAACAGGAAAAGAATGATAAATACAAACATTACATGATCTTATGTCTAGCACAAACAAGGAAACCACCACTGGTATATTTAACATATTATAATTTAGTAGTCCAGGTTTTAACATGAAGTGAATCTAGTAAAGAAGAAGAATATAAAATACTAAAATCGGAAAGAGTTTGCAGACATCTATACCTTTCAAAACTTTGTTAAACTTTTGCTGCAGGAGTATATGACATACAGTAATGCCTATACTGATTCCTAAGATGGTGCTTTAACAAGCAGCCAACTGTTCTTGTGACCCCTGTAGACACAACAGTTGCCAGAACTTAATCCTTGTTAATTAAGTGTTCTCTCACCTGTACACATACAAGATGACAACATTGCACTCTGATGCCATCTGTCATATGATAGCTTGAAAGAATGGTTGAACTTGATCTTAAAAATATTGTTGGTTTCAAGTGTTTAAAAATCTTACTTAACTTTGTTTTTTTATTTCAGTGACTGATTCAACTTGATTCTGCAACTGCCAAAGTTGGCTTTTCCATGCTGACTTCATACTTTATGGGTTGATCAGTTTGGCTGGCATAACAAAGTTGCATACTGTTTCATTAATGCATTTTTTTGTAATTAATCAACTTCTGATCAAAGCATGTTACCTACATAGATTAGAAGTAAACATATACACCTAGTAGTGAACATAGTTAACTTAATACAATGTTCAAAATATATATTACTTATAATGATAAAACTAATCATTCTTGAAACAATTCTTTTATTATAGTCATGTTGTGTATTTTACCTAATGTGATATCATTAACGCTTTTCAGCTTGGGCTCGGTCCCTGGGACCGACCTCGTGACCATTTTATGCTTGTTATAGTTTTCAT